TTATTTCTTACTCATTCCATCCAATATTATGATCAGGACTAATGCAGTAACTGTTGGGCTGTTACAGTGCTGAAGGATCATCGCCTTTCAATTATCGTTGATTATAACCAAATGTTTTAAACAGGACAAATCATGCATGGCTTTCATTTAGGCTGTGCGGGTTTCAGACTCGCATGCAGGCATACTACAACAAAAAGAGGTCTTTTACTATGTGATTTTTCTCTGTGACTTTGTTCCTGGGGTCAACAACTTGTTTAAAGCTTTTTTTATAGCTACAGTTAAATTTGTAAAACAGCAATAGGGGGGAGGACAGAGGACATAAACTATGGCAGAACGAGCATTAGAGAGAATGACCATCAGCCTTACCAGTGGGGGTAAAGAGAAAGCTCAAAGACGAGCAGTGAAAAAGCAACAAGCAAAAGGAGCATGAGAAAGAGTGTGTTCATGTGGTCCACAGAAATAAATTTTTGTTTTCAAACCTATAGTCCATTGGTGTGAGTTACATAGTAACCCCCAATTTGGTGGTCAATTTATCCGGCACTTACCAATATCTACCTCTGACATGTCAGTTCCACCGTCACCTTGCATCGTTACCTGCAATTCCAACCCCTCCGCCACCCCGTCATCCACCTTTGGCTGGATTTTGTTCAGCAACCCCCAATTCCATACCATATACCAAAGAGTGATGAACTCTGATGCAAATAATTTCAAAGTTGAGTTGTCTGAGGGAAATTCAAATATTTGACATTATTAAAGAAAACTAAAAAGAGGTTTAATGAACTATTACCAGGAAGTTTTTGTAGTTCTTTTTTATTCGTATATCACTGTTTTGTTATCTGTGGAAAGTTCCTGGCAAATAAAGTTCAAAGTTCATATAGCAGCACAGACTGTACATAAAAGACGGTTTCTGGACTTTATAGTTTTAAGCATTAACACCATGTTTATTTTTGTTGTTGTTATTGTGTTTGATTTTATTAAGTAACAGAATAATAAAATATCAGAAGTTTACTTGTTAAAACTGAAGCACAAACTTGTTGAATGATTTGTGTCATACAGCATTTTAATCCCAGAATGACTTTGGAGGTAGCCTCAAGTGGTCGTTTTAGGAGATGCAGGCGCATCAGTGTCGGCTTCATTCTTCAGTCCAGAAAACTACTGCGATCTGTTTCATGCAAAATATCTGCACCGAAATCCATGCCTTTATCGTGTTTTATAGACAGAATCCAATGTCTCGTTGAATCTGAATGAGAAATTGGAAAGGAAGTGATCCCTGCTGTGAAAAGTTTCACTCAGCTTTGACTTCTCTTGGTCACATTTCCTGATCTGAATTGATACAGCAACAATGTAACAACACTGTGGTAGAACGTGTTCAGTGGAAACACTCAGAGCCTCAGTGCTGCATATCCATCACAGGAGCAGCTAATGTGGCTGTCAGGCTCCTTTTTAGCAGCCTGCTGAAAATACTATTAATTAAAATAACAGAGTATCATGAACTTTACTCATCCCAGATGGGGGAGGGTAACACAGCAGCAGAATGCCAGCTGCAAACACAAATGAAGCTGTATATTTACAATGCTGACAATTATTTTTGACCCATGTGGGCATATTAAAATGGTACTTTTCTATACCTGAGAATACAAAGATTCATATTTTTTATTAAATAGTTAAATTAAATGATGTAAGCTGTTGCTTTGTTTCGATTAGCATACAGACTAAAATGTGCCTGTACCTTTAAAAAAAACAAAAACAAGGGTAATTGTTTTTTTACTTAATTCTTACTGTGTGTCATCGTGGTTAAGATACAGTGACCCACGACTTTAATTTTTAAAAAACGTCACCTATTTATTATGCTCTTCTTGGCTTCCTGACTTTTTATTAGCAGGATAGTGGCAATTCTATCACTGCACTGTGGAAATGACCAGCATTTAAGTGTTGCACTGTTACTGTACAAAAACGTCCATGACTCCGATCGTCAGCTTTCTGTTGGGACTCTGAGCTGAGTAAGGACACATCTGTGGGTATTCTAAAGGATTGAGCAGAAGAGGAGGCAATTCGAGCGGGGTGAGAAAGATCTCAAAACACATTGAACCTGAAAGAGTGTGTAAAAAGAGAGGACACAGTTCTTCTTGACCTACAGGTGAGTTGAGCTAATTTCTGATTAGCTATTTAACTCTAAATGCTACAAAGTTTTCACAGATTTTGAAAGAAAATTAAATGTGTGACATAAAAGCATCACTGAGACTTAATAGAATGTGAACATCTGTGTGTCATGAGCTGCAGATCTGTTAAGATGACGCACGAGAAGAGGTTTCAAGGCATTCCCATGTCAAAGGTAAGTTACATGCTGCTGGGATTGAAGACTTATGGGTGTAGGGTTGAAAGTTTCTTCATATGGTTCTTCACCAACCAGATAGATAATTATCCTCAGATAACATAAAGTAGAACAATTCTGAGAAAAGCCAAGAAAAGAAACACAGTAAATCAAATAAAGAGTTTCCATTTCCTTGGTGCATTTGTTCCACATGTGTATTTGTCATTTGGGTTGAGATCTTGTGAGGCAGCTGAGGTCATAGCAGATGTCATTTAGTGTCATTGTTATATGCATGAGACCTTTTGGTGATCCCAGTAAAAGGGTGACCTAGTTATGAAGCAGCACTTATCTCTTGTCCCGCTGTCCTACATATTGACAATGTCCTACATTTGACTGCTTCAAGTTTATATAAGTGAACATTTGTAAAACCTGGATTCAACCCAGTGAATATGAAGGAAGCAGGGAAGGCAGGCATCATGGTAAAGTGCAGGTTTATATGTCTTTTGCTGTCAATATGCCCAAGGGGGAAACAGTCACCAGTCACCACAAAGTTACAAGCTATTCAGACCTTTCAGAAAATGTAGTGGTGTAAAAAAGTTAAAGTAAAAAAAATAATCTCAGACAAGAAAAACAACATGTCATAATTAGCTAAAACATGTTAGAAAAACCAATGCATGGCTGCATCCCGACTCAGGCAGCATGCTAGCAAAGTGAGGCAGTGGTTAACGCTGTGGCATTACAGCAAGAAGGTTCCTGGATTGAAACATTGATGGCAATTCTGTGTGTGTAGTTAGCATGTTCTCCCTGTGCCTAAATTTCCTCTGAATGCTGTGGCTTCTTCCCAAAGGCAAGTAAGTTAACCCTTATGTACTGAAATCTGATGACTTCTTAAAGTGAATTAAAATACACAAAAATAAATGAATTTTAAAAAATTTCTAAAAATTTTATACATTTATTTTCGTATTTGGTAATTTTACCCAAATCAAATACCTACTTGCCAGTTCTCTAGACAAAAAACATTTAGCATTGTTAGCGTGCATCACTGGACATTAGCATCTAGTCACGGGTGTTGCACTTACAGTAACATATGTGGCATAAAACTATGAACAGAAGCTTTATGTGAATCATAAAGTGTGGTGTGTGTAAGAATGAATGCCACATAGAAGTGTAACTTCAATGAGTCTCTAGTAAGAAATGAAATACTGAAATACTGAAAATATCCAGACACCACCAATGAACTACCTTTTCACCACTTCACCATATTGCCTGTGTTCCAGCATTGACGCTGTTTCATGACACTCACAAAAGCCACTTTTCTGGTTCCAGTCAATGAGAGGTTTGTGTAAAGAGGAGGACTATGCATTTCTGAGAACATCGGAAAGGACAGAAGGAGCGGCGGCTTTAGGGAACGACTGGAGGGACAGGAAAGAAGAGAGGGTATGGCAAGTGTGACCAAATCAAATATCACACCCCACTTATGATGCACAAATTTCATGTATATCCATGTGTGTGTGTGTGTGTGCATGTGTGTGTGTGCATGTATGTGTGTCTGTGTGATTTAGGTCCGCAGGCGATTAGAGCAGGAGCAGCAGGAAAAAAAACGACTCAGAGAGATAGAGGAGAGCAAGAAGGTGAGCAGACGCGTGCACACACATACACACATGACTGGATGGTTCACACTCTACAAGTCCATACATCTGCAAAACAAACAGTCTTCACTTCCAACCTTTGGCACAGCATGAAGGGTTGCGCTAACTGACAGCAGCTTAGGCTCAACAGCTTGTACTTGTTTCTTCTTAGAAACCACATGCCTGTTACACACACACACACACACACACACACAGGTTGGACCCAGGAGCCAAGCAATAGTAACTGAATGTGACCGGTGCGGTGATAGATCAAGCCGGCCATCAGCACTATTTATTGGAAACCAGGCACTGAATGGTTTTAGCCATTCAGAGTTTAATAATTGAATGTTCTTGATTGGGAGGATGCTTTCCATAACACTTTTTAAACAGCTTTTTCAAGGGTTTTGTGTGAAAATGATCTTCCTTATTAAGTTATTAGCAAATACCAAATGTGAACTCGGTGTTTTTTGTTTGTTTTTTATTTCCTTCACTTATGAGGCACACACACTGTGAAAGTGACTCATTTATTCACATTTTAAGATGGCAAGCTTGGGTTTTCGTGAGACCAGGTTGTAGTAATCAGTCTGATGGAAACAGAGAGCTGAACTATCAAGTAGACGGGCCGTGGTGTGACGCCAAATCAATGAGCATTAATCTACCGTTGAGGTTCACTTTGTTGCTCAGGGCGAAATCAGATCGACTTCCATGGAATTAACAGTCTAGGCAACACAATTCTGGCCCTCTGTCAAGACTGTCAGGGTTTATCAGTCGCTTTGGGAGAGCATGTAGACACACACGCAGTAGAAGAAAGAAATAGACATTTGGCAGTATGAAACAAAAGAAAGTGATTTTGCATTGATAGTTGGATTTATTCAAAACACAACACAACACATAGACAGTTGCCAAAACAGATGGACACTCTCATGGACTTGGAATGCAGCATACACTAAACAGCTGTGGACGCTTTGAGCAGTTGCCCAATTTTGACAAGAGTGTGTTAAGGTCAACAGGGGACGAGGGCTTGCTGTTGCTGTCAGTGTTTCTGCTTCTCTGCAGAAAAAATAAAAAGACAGGAAGCTGATGACAACATTTACCCCGATAGAGTAGACAGTCACTCTCACAGCAGTATGGAATGTACTTTCTGCTGAACCCTAACTTAACCCAGAGCCACACATCAAAAGTACACACAAATGTGCATGGACTCAGTGACTTATGACCTCTGACATATGCACAGAGAAACATACAGCCAATGCAGAAAAGCAACCTGAACCCAAACAGACCCCCAGTCTTCATTAAACAAGGGTTAATCTGTATAAAATGTCACATGTGCTCACCACTGGAATGTGTCAATCGAGCCGTATGAATACCAGAAAACCGTTGTAATGTTGACAAGTCAACATGGAGATTTAAGTGAGTGCATTACAATGAATTCAACCAAAATAACCAAACAATAAACTTAATAGATGGGTGTCTTTTGAACCTAAGTTATATTGCCAAAAGTGTTCACTCACCGATCCACGTCATCGAATTCAGGTAATCGCTTCCATGGCCACAGGTTGATAAAATCAAGCATCTGGGCATGCAGACTGCTTCTACAAACATCTGTGGAAAAAATGGGGCGCGCTCAGGAGCTCAGTGAATTCCAAATGAATTGGTACTGTGATGGGATGCCACCTGTGCAAAAAGTCCAGTTGTAATTTCCTCATAATTGAACTTGTCGTGAGGAATTAATTCAGCTGCATCCTGGACTTACTGATTTTTACAGCCTGGTCTCGGACAACTGAAAGTCCTTGAAGAAGGACTTGAATCACCAAGCAAAATGCAAAGTGTCAGATGTAGTGGTGTAAAGCATTTCAATGGAGTGATGAATCATGCTTTCCTGGGAATCCAAAGAACGAGTCTGGGTTTGGTGCTTGCAAGGAAAACGGTACTTTTACTGACTGCATTGTGCCAAGTGTAATGTATAGTGAAGGAGGGATTATGGTGTAAGGTTATCTTCAGGAGCTGGGCTCTGCCCCCTAGTTCTTTAGCATACCAAGACATTTTAGACAGTTCCAGACTCACAACTTTGTGGAAGCAGTTTTGTTTATGGTCCCTTCCTGTTCCAACATGACTGTGCACTGGTGCACAAAGCAAACTCCATGGATGATTATACCTTTGGTGAAGAAGAACTTGACTGGCATGCACAAAGTCCTGACCTCAACCAGACAGAACACCTTTGGGATGAAATAGAGCAGAGCCTGCAGGCCAGGTCTGAACTCTGAAATGGGAACACAGTCCTAAACCTTGTGGAAAGCCTTCCCAGAAGAAGCTGTTGAAGCTGTTATAGCTGCAAAGTGTGGGCCAACATGGTATTAAACCCTATGCATTAAAAATGGGATGACACTCAAGTTCAAATTCAATTCAATAAACTTTATTGATCCTGAAGGTTGGCCCCGAAGGAAATTGGTGAATGCGTGTGAAGGCAGACGAGTGCATACTTGTCTGTCTTCAATATTGTGCATTTCCAAATTAGTTCTCTGAAGTTGGGGCAAAAAGTTCTTGGTTTAGAGCCTGTTTTTGCTAAATTATGTACTATTATAGGCAAACTGACTGAATAGTGATTGCAAGAACAAGCAACATTTTTTAAGTCTTACATAAGCATCTGACATCACGTAAATCAAAGGCCTTTGGTTCAGAGACATGGAGGCAGTTACAGTGGTAGTACTGTACTACTGGCTACATTATATTCTTTTGTGCTGCTCAACTTTGGCGCTGCATTAAAAGTCCTTAAAAAACACCACACACATACAAATTATGAATCTGTAGTGAAAATTCTGAAAACCTTAGCATAGTTCATTGCTGCATGCATATTGTTCATGTTACAGATCATGCTGTACATCAACCAGACCTAGGAAAGCTGCTGTTTTCTCTAATAAGATGAGGCAAAATGGAGATCATCTACATCTTGTCCTTCACATTAAATAGGACAGGTACCATCCTGATTGCTACCAGGTGACACTTCATTAGCCAGAATCCTTAATGGTTAGGAGGCATTCTGCTGTCCGACAAACCGAACAAGCAACTGAAATCTCACAGAAAAAACATTTAGTTTTATAAACTACAACAGGCTTCAGCACTTTAACTTACTTATTTTATAGTTCTATATAACATTATTATCACATTGACCTTCAGAACCATCTATTGAGGAATGTGCATTTTTCCTTTCCCCCCCCATTCCTTTGACAACCTGGAAAAAGTTATAGGGTGCAGCATAAAAACAGGTCAGCTACAGCATCCTTTTATATCTCTAATTCTAACGGACAACGCAGAGCTGATCTTCAAAGACATGTCAACATGTGTCTGGCATCTTTCCTTCTTGAAGCAAACTGGATAGACAGACTTCTGACTTCTTCAGAGTTTCCTAGTTTTTAGATTGCGAAGCTAAAATATTAATTAGCAATAGGACGCATTGAAAACTCCTGGAACCAATGGAATTTGCTGAGAGCCTTTGTCAAAAGTGATGTTTTGTTTATCGCCGAAGTTGTCAACCTGAAGTTTATCTGAACACAAAGCTTACCCCTTACAATATAAAGCGCCTTGAGGCGACTGTTGTGATTTTGCGCTGTATAAATAAAACTGAATTCAATTGAAAAGAGGAGATTTTCGTGTGGTGAGGGTCTCCCTCTCAGTACTTAGTAATTAACTAATGATAGCTGTATGCAGTCTGTTAGCTCATATTTACTGTTAACTCCCCCTGTATGTGTTGAAAGCCATTCCTTTGGGTTTTTTATACAAATAATGTCTGCACGTTAGTTCTGTTAGTGATGGAGTTCACCTTTCTTCACCTTTCAGTTCCCGCAGCATCCTGTGGGAGTACGTTTTTATTTAGTTTCTTTAATGGCTTATAGCATCTCCAGTCTTCTGCGAGATGACAGACCAACGTTAACCAAGTGTGACCTTCCTCCAAATATTTGTTCTTTTATAGTTGACGTCCAAACTTTGGTGTGTTTCACACATGTAGTGCAGATTAAAATGCTTATATAACTTTCCTGTGAAATACAATAATTATGACCTTCTGTCATCTAGTGTCATCTGCACAAGGGGAGGGGGCATGTAAACTGCTAAAAACAGAAAGAGAGAGAACGCACATTTGTTTACATTTTTCTGTAACTTTTGCCAAATTATTAGTGATTACTAACAAAAGCTGCTGTGACTCAGTCTTGAGTGAACATTACACAGAAAACAGACAGGACTGTGCAGCGATCAAAACTTGATTCCAGCCTTTGAATTGCAGTTAGCAACTTTAAATTTCATACTATGTACATCTTTGTACTATGTGTTCATTAGCTGCACTTTGACTGCTTTCAAGACACATTTAACTAGAGCCAAGATGAAGGTTAATTAGGAACTACGACCTCAATTGACAAAATGTTGGCACACCGTGTAAAACAAAATGTAACTAAATTTTAAAAAAAAATTTAAAAAAAGAATGAAAGGATTTGAAAATCTAGATCCATTTCTTTATTCTCAGTACAAAAGAAAAAATATTAAATGTTTAAACTAAGAAAATATTAAATTTTTGAAAAAAATTATTAGCAAATTTTGAATCTGATCGCAATAATACATATCAAAAAAGCTGGGGGAAATAAAAGTTAATTGGCAACAGGTCAGTAACATTACTCGGTATAAAAAGAGTCTTTTTGAGAGGCAGGGTTTAAAATAAAATTTTCATCATCTCCAGTACTTGATGTCATTAAAAGATTTGGAGACTCTGGATAACTATGACAGAAGGAGCAAGAGTAAATGGGCAAATTTAGAGGATGGTGGACCTGCTGTGATGTGGTTTGGAGACAGTGGCAGTGACAGTTGATTTTGGATGCTTGTGGTCTTCAAGCTCTCAGGCAGCACTGCATTTTTTCTGTCTTGGAAATCGCAACATAGGCCCAGGATCACTTCCAGAAATCATTGTTTGTGAACACAGTTCACTGCACCATCCACAATTGCAGGTTAAAGCTCATTTAAAATGGACAGAGGCAAAGTGGGAAAACTGTTCTGTAGTTAGATGGTCAAAGGAGCTTGCAAAGAAAAGCGTCTGGACTTCTTTAAGTTGCTTGAAGACGTTTCACCTCTCATCCGAGAAGCTTCCAGTTTCACACCTTGGCTCAGGCGATTAGAGGATCATCAGGGGGTCCTTTTGTCCCTCTGTGGGGGGATACTCCCACTAGGTTTATATCTGGGACTCTCCACCATTTGACCTTCGAACTGAAGAAGCTTCTCGGATGAGAGGTGAAACGTCTTCAAGCAACTTAAAGAAGTCCAGACGCTTTTCTTTGCAAGCTCCTTTGACTACGATGACCTGGATGACTGAGAACCTTCACAGACATAAATCTGTAGTTAGATGATTTGAAAGAGGAGTTTCATTTTAAAAAGCCTTCATCTCTGATTGTATGTGGCTATATTAGTACATACAGATCTGTCAGCTTGCACATTTGGAACAGCATACAGTTTTTAGAGCACATGCTCCCATCCTGTTGATGTTTTTTTCTTTTCAGGGAAGGCCTTTCATATTTCAGCAAGAGAACACTAAACCACACACTGCAGCTATTAACACAGCACGGCTTTGAGGTAGAGTCCAGGCGCTGAACTGGCCTGTCTGCAGTCCAGACCTTTCACCACCTTAAAACATCTGACGCATCATGGAGCAGAAAACACAGCAATGAAGCACCAGGACCATTGAGCAACTAGAATCCTAGATCAGACAATAGTGGGACAACATTGTGCTCTCAACTGGTCTCTGTAGTTTCCAAATGTTTTACAGACTGTTGTAAAAAGAAGAGGGATGCTGCATAATGATAAACATGGCCTCGTCTAAGCTGTTCCAAACTGTGTTGTTGCCATCTAATTCAAAATGAGCTAATATTTTTCTTAAAATGGTACATTTTCTCACTCTCACATTTAAACTTATATATGCAAATTCGTTTTAATTAAAGAAATTATCAGAAAGTTTACCAAACACTCCTTTTCTCCAAAATCTAAATTTTCTGGCAATTATTTCATAGTTCAGACTTTAAAAGGTTAATTCAACTAAAAACTAGTACTACTACTACTACTAGTACTAGTACTAAAAGTCACAGCCGGCAATTTATTGCTTAAACATGTATATTGCAATTTATTTCATTTTTTTTTCAGGGTGAATGTATTTAGTAGAGGTCTGAAAAACTGTGTTTTTCCTGTTTTGTTATGTATGTATCAAATGTGATATAGTTGTCGTTACAGGGTTAAACATCCAAAATCTAGACCTGCCTTTACATTTTCCAAAACCATCCATCCAGTGGAACAAATTGGAGTGTTTGCCAGGCTGATTCTGGCCCTTATGTTTAACACCCCTGCTCTGTTATAAAGTTTCACTTTAATTGGAATAACACTTTAAAAGTTATTGAGACCATAAACTCAAAGTATGTAAGCGGTTGTAAAGCCTGTGAGCAGCAGGGCCATGTGAAGTTTTACTTCACAGACCTGGAGGTTACATCCACGTGTCCGCCTGTAATTCTTTATATAAGCAAGTACATCCAGTACTTGCTTATACATCCATCCAAATAAATCTAAGAAAAACCAGTTCAGAAGACAGAAAAACAGAAAACACACACAATCATTCTCACGTAATCCTCCATAATATTTTGAGGCTCTGTAGGATTATTTTGATGGCTAAAGTTCCCCTGGTACACTGATATAACAGTACATACATTCTGCTGGGCTTGCACCGCAGAGCCTTAAGTAGGCGTGTTTGTGTGTGTGTGATGAAAAGTTCTGGGTCTGCTGGCGGGTGTGTTCCTGACCTCAAATTTGAATCTCTTGTTGAATCTTTTGGATCCAATTTCCTGCAGTGTGTTTGTGTGTATTTCTAAGTAGGATTTACACACATGTGTGTGAGAGAGAAGGCCGATGCGAGTTGCGCTCAATGAACAGCGCCTGTCATTAATTAACGTTCCCGTCATGCTGTGTGTGGGTCTGGGGAGCCGTAATGTTTAGAGGAAGTCGATGTGAGCGAGGGAGCCATTTGCTCTAATGTCAGTCAGTTTCAAGAGGAAGCCTCGCTGACACATATGGAGTGAAGGTGAAAGCAGTTACACAGTCAATGCGAACACACACACACACACACACACACACTCACACACACACACACACAGACAAACAACCAAGACATTCTTTCTTTAAAGGCCTTTGAATGATTATGGAGAGGGATATGGGGAAGCACGCTTGGTGCAAATTTGCTCAGACTGGCGATCACTGACAAGTTGACAAATTGAGTTGATTATTTTCCGTCTCAACTCCACTGACAAGTTCGTGGGAGCAATTTGCCAAGTTTTGATGATTGTGGAGTGTCATTGTGAGGATCAGTCAGAGGGGCTTTGTGTTGAGACATTAACCGTCAACAGACGTGTTACTGTTGTAATTATGAAACTACCGATGTAGTTAAACTCATTTTTCAGCCACATGGAAACTAATGGCAGGCTGATTAAGACAAATGGAGTATAAAAATGCAGTGCCTGCTGCTGGACTACTCTACATGGAATATTGCTTGTAAACAGGGTTCAGTTCAGATTCTTTACACTGACAGAATGGAGAGTTACACTTAAGATCAAAGCAGCCTGTATGTGGCCCACATTGTAAAATGAGTTTGACAGTTTGTTACCATGCAGTATTATTCCATGTACTTGTTTCCCCAGTAAGAACCACCTCCTGTTCTTAACATCCGATTTCAAAAGGAATGAAGGGATTTCACAAAACCAGCAGCTGAGACAAACGTGTCCATCTTTTATATATAGTCTATCTTAAAACTGCATTTTGGTCTTTCAGGAGAAAGAGCAGCAGTGGCGCACTCATGTAGCAGAGCTTACCTCCAGCCAGCAGAAGACTATGCAAGACAGACTGGCAAGGCTGCGCAGATTCAGGGTGAGGATGACAGGCAAACACATCCAGATCTCATTACCAACTGTTGATGTGAAAAACACGCACCTGCTGTTGTTTGATGTGGTTGCTGTGCTGAAATTCACATTAACCATACGAGATTCAACACCACAAAGTGACAGCCTAAGCAGCCGCAAAGCTTCTAGAGTTTCACTGCAACACAGAAAAGCTTTTTTTTTTTTTTTTTTTTTTTTTTTTTTTTTTTTGTTATAAAGGACATGGAGTTTATGAGACACTGAGCGGTCATGGACGAAGTCATCAAGTTACAGAGCAGTTACAATTTAGGGTCATTGATCAGGTGCTGGATAAAGAGACTAGTGAGTAGCTTTGAAGCGATATTTATGAGTTTGTCATTATGTCATTCACTCTGGTGCCAAAAGATCATTGATCTGTTTTTCAGTCAAATATCACTATCAGGGTTTTTTTTCCTATGCTGGTCAGGTTTATGCCATTGCTGTCTACACACATATTGTTCACCTAGCAATCATCAAATGTGTAAGTGTTTAATGTTCAAACACTCTGAGTCTTTTTTTTTCATGCAGGAGTTCCAGAAGAAGGTGATGGAAGAGGAGTCTGGAGAGGAGGGTGCACCAAGCAGCCAGGCAGTCAATCAACTCTTCACCAGGATGTAGATGCATTAAAGGATAATCAAGAAGAAGGCTGGACCGCTGCTTCAGTGGCCAGAACATAGCATTCTAATGCAAATATAAATTTAACAGTCACATACTGAATGAACTGCTTTAATCTTTTAAAGTTAGTTATTGTATCTGACAGTGCTTCTTGGGGATTATACCAGAGATTGCTGTTCTTTTCCTCAAGTGTTTCAAAAATCTTAATACACTGTAACAAAAAACTGGTTACATTGTGATCTTGCCTAAATGAAGCATGCATTCTCCTTGCTGTTGCAAATCAGCTGGCTGTTTGTCTGGTGTGACTTTTTTTTTTTGGGGTGGGGGGGGCACTAGCTGTCAAAATGTCTCTAGAATTCTTCACAGTGCAGCTCACTCCAGGATATCCAAGAAATAGATTGTCAGCATCGAGTTTTGTTTCTCTTCAGAAAGTTCAAACAAGCCATCAGGCAACCAGACATGATGCAAATGTTAGACGTCTTATTTTAATTTTAATACAGTAGACACGACCGAAGGCTGATTAAGGAAGGGCGAGTTTGGGAGCCTGTGCAGCAACTTGTGCTCACATAATATTTGACTGTTCCCAATACATTTTCATCCCACTGTATCACTTCTGTTTCTTTTCTTTTGTTAAATTCTTATATTAAACCGCAGTTGTCCAAAGGGCTACTGAGGCTGCCTCATGTGTTATCAGGAGAACATAGCCTAGTTTGAATTAAAGGGAGGAAAAAAGCCCAAAAGACAGGCCCCTGAAAACTACTATGAACCTGAAAGTAAATTCATTTTTTCATATCCAGAGAGACTTAACAATGTCTTCTGGTCCACAGGTCAGCTTCTTAAGTGAGGTATTATACCCATACGTAAATCTTCAGCATGTTAAAATGCACACTTTGGTGTATTTTTCAAAATGTTTCAGTGTATGTTGGCTCTGATAGTGGTCTCTGGATTTAGGCTTCCAGCAACACAATATAACTAATATGGTGTGTGCATTCAGGACAGTCAAGAAAGCCTGGCTAAATAGAGGGATTAAATGGAAAAGATAGAAAATAGTCCTTTATATATTCAAAGTCTACTGCAGTTTTAGGGTCATAGAGGAAACAAATAACAGGCCTAACATAGTCAGAGTTGTTATCCCCAAGTATGTATATCAGTCTGTACTGCTAAGCACATTACTTAGAACTTTGACAGTGGAGGCAGGTGCTCGCACGCCATGTCCCAGTGGTGGTTAGCGTTAGGCTAAAGTTTGTGTGAGTAATTTGTTACTGTGGGAAATATTTTAATTGCATTCTTGCTTCTTCTGCAGTGTTAATTTTGACTGAAATTTTATTTAGTTTTAATAATAGGCCTTTGACTAAAAAGAAAATCCTAGGGAGAGGAGCTACGCTAAGAGAGCACTTAACCCACCAGTGTTAAGTGTAAAGAGGGCATAGCCATCGATTGAGTACACTGTCATGAAATGTTCACTGTAAACATCCATTTTGCATGTCTTTGCTTCAATGTCCCAGCAAAGGCCAAACAAGATTAAGGTAATATGAGTTGGATTGCTGTAAGCACTCGTCATTTCCAAATGTCTTTTCTGGAGTTTTTTGGGGTTTTTTGGAAGTAAAAAGAAACAATGAAGAAAAAACTCAGGAAAGACTTGCAACAACATACACACACACACACCTTCCTGTCACACTTCAAAGTTTATGTATTGACACAGATGGACAGACAATTTGGTGAGACTCAGCTGTGATCCCTCTATACCTAAATGTGTGTGTGGGAGTTAAAAGTTCCTGCTTTGTGCGTTCACATCCTCACATGCAAGCATGTGCATTTTGCACATGCGCGATAAAGTACTTTTACTTATTTGTCTGCACATGTGTGTGGACATTTTATATAGTGCATTAACCCACCAGTTGTGTGTGTGTGTGTGTGTGTGTGTGTGTGTGAGAATTTAAGGTGCGGCCTGGGTCCTATAGGACCCTTTCATCAGTGCACCGAAGGGGAAAAAAGGACAAAACATGTCGAAAGAGATGAAGTGAGCAAAGGTGAGAAGAGGAGGAACAGGAGTTTCCAGTGTGTAAGAGCAGATCAGGAAAAGAAAAGAGGAGAATATGTCCTACAATGCAAAGTATAGTATTGCCTGAGGACACAGACATACAGGAACATGAACCGTTTCCCTCCCTCCCACAGTGTCTCTTCAATAGTATACCACAATGTGAGCCTTTTCTGTGTTTATAATTATTTATTATATTTTATATGATATATTTATTTATTAAAACTGTGGACAGGTTTCCCACATTAAAGAGGCTTTATTATTCTAATTGCTTATTTTATTGTGCAATTAAAACACACAATGTTCTAACGAACAAAAAGCCCCCACTATATGCAGAGCAAATGCTCTGTGGAGTTAACTATTCATTTTTGCATTTTCAACTGTTACACCCAAAGCAACATAGAGTGCACAAGAGAGGTGTAGGAAAGAGTGCAGACAGGGTGGAGTGGGTGGAGATGACAGAAGGATAGCAGCAAAACTGAAAGGGAAGGTTTACGAGACTGCAGTGCTATGAGATGATGGACGATGTGGTAGAGCTTGATGTTGAACAGTTGGAGATGATAAGATTTTTGTTATTTTAAAGGAAGAGCTCTGGTTTAGCAGTTTAGAGACAAAGTGGGAGAGACAAGGGATGGTGTGGACATGTGCAGAGGAGGGATAGTGGATATACTGTACAGAGGATGTTGAATAAAGAACAGGCAGGCAGGAGGAAAGAAGAAGACCTCAAAGGATGTTCAGGGATATAACAAAGGAGGACATGCAGAGGGTTGGTGTGACAGAGGAGGATGGTAAGGACAGGATGAGATAAAGGCATTCGATTTGCTGTGATGAACAATAAAGGGAGCAGAAGAAGTCTGTGATACAGCACAATCAGAATCTGCTCCCTTGAAAAATTTTGGGAGTTTTAGTATTAGCTGATTTATCAGCATGTGTCAGTTTTCCACATAATTTGAAATCTACTAGTTGCTACATATAAAATCAGAACAGAAAAACAGTTAATTTTTAAGTGTATTTTGGGAGGGCTTTTATTGTTTATTGATAGTGAAGAGAAGACGGGAAAGCCAAGGAGAGAAAACAGGTTAAGAGACAGTGTCTCAAATGTTTCTGCAAACCAGTGAAACAGTCTTCTGTAACCCAAGAAGCAACCTGCAGGGCTGAAAAATGAAGCCAACATGCAAAGGCCAAAAACTGCAGTTCCCAGCGTGGCCACTTGAGGCTGATTTCAAAAGTGAATTGCAAAATTTCGTTATAAAACCCCACGTGTTAAAATTCAACCTAAAAGGATGTTCACAGCCAGCTCAAAAAACAAAACAAACATCCATCCTCTTCCACTTATCCTTATCAGATCACCAGCCTGCCACAGGGCTAACACTGAGGGACAGCCATTCACACCCAGTAGCGGTTTTTGATAAGGGCGACACGGGCGGTTGCCCGGGGCGGCATCGTGGTGGGGGGCATCGGCAAAAAAAAAAAAAAAAA